GATCGGTGCAGCTTCTGCAGTAATGCGGTCGATGTACCGGTCAGTCGTGGTGAAGAAGGAGTTGAGCTGTAAGGCGAAGCTCTCGATTTACTGGTCAATCTACATTCCCACTCTCGCCTATGGTCATGAACTTTGGGTCATGACCGAAAGGGCAAGATCCCGGATACAGGCGGCCGAAATGAGCCGAAATGAGATAGGGTGAGGAGCTCGGTCACCCGGGAGGAGCTTAAAGTAGAACCGCTGCCCCTCCACATCGAGAGGAAGCCAAGGAGGTGGCTCGGGCATCTGTTTCGGATGCCTCCTGGGCGCCTTCCTAGGGAGGTGTTCCGGGCATGTCCCACCGGGAGGAGGCCCCGGGGAAGACCCAGGACACGCTGGAGAGACTATGTCTCTCGGCTGGCCTGGGAACGCCTTGGCATTCCCCCGGAGGAGCTGGAGGAAGTGTCTGGAGAGAGGGAAGTCTGGGCATCTTTTCTTAGACTGCTGCCCCCGCAACCCGGTTCCGGATAAGCGGAGGAAAATGGATGGATGGATGGATCAGACAACAGAAAGTTAGTGCTAATTATGGGTGTTTTCAACTTACATTCTTATTTTTTTAACCAAATCAAATTTATGCTTATAATCAAAGGATTGCTACATCCCAGTAAACCATTAGATGAACAATAACATTTAGTAGCTGAAAACCAGCTCTGTGTCTTGCATGCCAGTTTATAATTAACAAACTGAAACAAACAGCATACTCGTCAAGCTGCAAACCATAAACTAAATGTGGCACGCCAATGCCAATGCACCGTTGTAAGGTTGCGTTCACCACCAATCTAACTCATGGGAATGGGACAAATGAGAGGCCACTGTGACTTTTGGCCTGCAACATCTAATAAATTCATTATTGAAGTTCAAGTGGATGTTTGTACCAAATTTGAAGAAATCCCCTTAAGGTGTTACTGGGATTTTGCTTTCATGAGAAAAACGGCACAAAGAGAGGCTGAAAAGATTTATGTTGTCTCAGGGCAACACTGTGCAGTCGAGGGTTAAATATCAGACGCAGTCTGTGGCAGAAGGAATACTGAGGGTGCTGGTGTAAATTACCATTCTCCCCTCCTTTATTTGCATATCTAAACAGAAACGCCTTAAAATATATGTTGCTTGAGACCAAACATGCAATTTCCAGGAGTGCTTCTTTTTCCTTTTCTTTCCAGCGCAAAACCTGCAGTAACTGCAACTCCTTGGTAAATTAGAACACACAATTTCACTATTTAGCACCAAAAAATGAGCCACAATACCTTACTAAGTTTGGTAGTAAAGTGTTACTTCAGGATGGCTTGCATGATATCCAAACTATTAATGTGATAGTTATGAAAATGTGCTTGCTTTGTAACACTATAAATAGGCTGGTTAGCAACATGAGAGTCTAAGGGGAATCTGTGGTTTTCTCTGTGGTCAGTGGCCTGGCTACAGGCCTGGTGTATAAAATCTCCTGTCAGAGAAGTAGGTCAGTTCAGTCAGGGTCAGAGCACATCCACTTCAATGACTGGAGCAATGGGACTTCAAATGACTCTTCTGCAGGCAAAGCTGCACAAATACAGTGCACCAACACACAACACAGAGGAGGGTAACATTGGTCATTAAAGAATTACAATATTAGAAATATTTAACAGTGTTCTGTTAATTTTCTTTTGGCATCTGTGACCCACCTAGCTTGTGGAAGTCCATAGCTGGTGCCCACTCCAACTCGAGGAAGGCTGTAGACCACTTTCTTTACTGTGGCCTGGTCAGGAAAGTTGAACATCACTGATGCTGTTGAAGAGCAAGAAACATCAGTTAATGATGGAAAAAAGGAAAAGAATCCTGTATTTCTAAAGCTATAATTGGCACTAAACCTACTTCTGTTGGCCATGAAGACCTCCATCGCTGTGTTCTGCAGGAGGTAGCGTCTGGGGAAGACTGCTCGGATCTCGCTGAACATCCACTTCCCGTGTAAACCCTCAGTGTATGCTAAGACCTAGCAGGCCAACAGACGAAGGACATTCATTTAAGAGAGATTTTCAATTTCAATTAACTTCGCCTGGTAAAATAAAGGTTAAATTAACAATAAGTATTATAAAACCATAAATCGTGCACATCTATTGTAATGTGAAAGCTGCATATAACAAAACAAGGAAACATCAACAAGAGCGTGTGCTGCAGATAAGAAAGTGTGACAACAGGCTTTCAGATGATTTATTTAAGACATTTCCTTTATATACAATGCCACTGGCATTGAAGTACTCTATCACAACGGCGATGAGGCAGGTTCCCAGACTATGAATTCAATTATTTGAACTAAAGCAATGGGGCCACTGCTTTATTGTGATACGGACATAAAAACAAACCAACTCTGAGCCAACACTGCTTTCAAACTGTATCGGAGCTGGCATAAAAATGTGGCCTGAACAGAATTCCTCAAAAGAGAGATCAGTGTTTAACATTTGCGTACTGCTTTGCTATATTAAAAGGTGAGTCTTGTTTATGGGCATCACAGCAGTAGGTGGTGAGACTGTTATCCCAGCTGGAATTCAAACCTGATACTAATACTGTAAGACAATTACATTATGCTACTAAAATCAGTTCTTAATAACTATTGAGTATGTTTTATTCTAAAGAGAATGTTAATATCACATTTGTACCAGCTCATTTATTCCATATTAACTTAAAACAAAGAATTAGTGAGGTGATTATAGCATAATTCAAGGCACTTTTATTCACAGTATGAGCTCTCTACAGATTCTCTATGAGTGTTTCACACTTTTTCAGCTCATCTATAACATTAGAACAAAGGCAAGTGGTCACAAAACCACCCCCTGAGTTAGTGACACATAAATAATCACACAAAAAAAACCCCCACAGTGCCAAGTAGAGAAGTGAGCAGACAAAGGATCATTAGTGTACCACTGGGACTGTAGGTCCACACAGAAAAAACCAAGACAGTTGTTCTGACAGGTGAGAATGGTCCCCTCACACACCTTTCCCCCTCCTACCATCTCACTTCCTTCTGACTGAACAATTGTATCCAACAGTATGAGCTGGGGAGGCACCTCATCAACACCCCAGGTTATAATCACACGGGTTCAGTTCAGAAAGAGAGTGTGTGTAAGAGAGAATAAAGACATAACAGGGCAGTAAGGGGGTGAGGCCCTAAAGTATATTATTGTGTGTGTGGGGGGGGTCCCTATATATATATATGCGTGAGGGTGATTCAGGTGGAGTAGGTAGGCAGAGAGGGAAGCAGAGTGAGATGTTCAGCTGGGTTAGGTGTGATGCTAATGCTCATTTAAAATAGTGACAGGCTGAAAGAGTGCAGTGTGAGCCAGGCTGCTTTAATTTCTCCCTGGAATAGCTCATGCCCGACCTCCGTGCCACATCCAAAATCTCTGGAGCTCAATTAAAATTGGATTAGGTGGAGATGCTGGATGTGCAGCACAGCATCTCTGGTCCTCTCCTCCCAGTAATGCCCCTGCTTGACACCTCTGCAACCCCCAACTCAAACAGTTGTCATAGAGACAGCACAGCCCAGAAGAGGCAGCATGCTGACTGGATGGGGGATAGAGAGGAAGGGTGGTGAGATGGAGGGATAGCTGTGAAGCTGCAGGCACACTGTTGAGGGCCAGCATCCGCTCTGCAGTACCTTTCATCCCCCTGCTGCTCTGCAGCCAGATGTTCTGGAAGCAGTCTTTTGAGTGCAGTGCAGAAAGGCAAATAAGACAGATATGGATCATGGGAAGGCTACAACATCTTACTTCATCAACGCACTAGCAAGCTGTTATTTGAATACATATTAAGTTAGCTGGATGTTTGGAGAACAGTTTCTCATTTCAGCACAGACTTTATTCCTTTCATTCCTTACTTTTTCAATTCATCAATGCCGTGAATGGTTCTAGTAAATAGTGACTTTGTACACTACATCATGCACTATAAGATTCTGGATCTATAACAAGCCAGAAGTAATAAAAGTGCAGTTTACATGGGTTTGTCAAGCAGATACTGCAATGCAGGTTCTTAAGAATTGAAAAACATGAAAACTGCTATGACATGATAGCTCCAAATTGATTAATATAATATTTTAGTAATGCTTGTTCCTTGCTACCCAGCTAAAGTTAACATTTTGCCATCATGACAAAGCACAGGCCAAAGGGCTGCTGTCAACAAAAGAAAGGCTAAAGAGCAGAAAAAAAGAGCTGATTTCAAACAGCCCAGATCAAAAAATTTGTCATAACAACAAAGCTTTGCTCTAAACCAACACACTGGGGCCCCTGTAGACTTGGAGATTTGACAAAGCCCAGCCCTCATTTTTGGAGGCCCAGCTGTAAAAAATGCCATTTAATGAACCTGTCTGCCGAAGCTGTCCCCTGCCTGTCAGAAGTGTCAGCCAGTGACAAGTGCTGGGGACGGCCGCCTCCAGTCACAGACAGGCCTGCCAGCCTGTCCCCTGCCTGTCAGAAGTGTCAGCCAGTGACAAGTGCTGGGGACGGCCGCCTCCAGTCCCAGACAGGCCTGCCAGCTGGAGACTTCGGCCCCAATCTAATCACGCCACCAGGAAGGGACCGGCACTCTGCTCTTGGTCTGTCACGCTCAGGGCTGGGGAGCAGAGAGGGGGCGGGTGCATGGGGGTCTGGTATGGCCGACAAGCACAGCCTTTTGTTTCCACACAGGTCCCTCCATGCAGGCTCATTAGGAGCCACAAGCGCATGCGCTGCTCTGCCAGCTGCAAGGGAGATACACCTCTCCAGCATAATAGCCATAATGCAATTTAACATCTCTGTCCTCACTTTCCTTTATTTGCCTTCTCTACAGGCTGCATTCTGCCTGTAGAACATCACAGGCAGAAAACTGAAAAATACTGTGACAGATGAGATCAGAAGAGGCACAGGTGACACTGGTGTTTAGGCTGAAACCTGTATAATAATGAGCAGCTGCTGAAATGGAGCACATCAAACTTAAAAGCGATAGGAAACCACTTCCTTTATGGAAATAGATTCTAATTATATTTGACTTTTGAATAGTTTTAACCCCACATCGACTAAGACACTATGACAGAAATTAATAAATCTAATGAAGAATTTTCTCTAAAACCTGATCCAATTTTCTCCCATATGGAACAATGCAATCCCCCCTCTACTGCATTTACACCAAAACAAGAAAATAATATTATTCAGTGAGATTTCCAAGCCAACATGACTGATATATTTATATGAGACTTTATATGACAATCTGACAACCTGGTATCACAGCACCTCCGCTGCATTCTTCTCAGATTTGTCTAATAGGCTTCCACTATAAAGCCTCCCAAGTGCATGGTCCCAGGCGGCCACAGAGAACAGTGAAGAGGAAGAATAAGGGGAGGATACTAGCAGCAGGTTCATTTTGAATGATATGACTACCCCCTCAGGAGTGAGTGGGATGGATTTCACACATGGCAATTTGGAGGATCAGCACACATTACGTATACTGCATTCAATGGCTGACCCCAGGCAATATGGGCTAAATCTGTGAAGAGGCTGAGCAGTCAGAGAAAGCAAAGAGCAGGAGCAGAAGGCATCTCTCAGCTAAGTGTGAGTCCATCATCAGCCACAGACATCATGGTAGACATGGGTCATGAAAAATATATTTATAGAAATGTTAGAAAGTAGAACATATAAACTAGAAAGTAAAAATCAGAGTTTAACACAGTAACAAATAACTTGAGAGGTCTGTTCAAAACTGGAAATCCAAAAAAATCACCACACATAAACCACTGGACCAACCTTCTGACAGAATACATCACATTAGAGAAAATGGCATCCACTCACAAGAATAGTTTATCAGCTTTTTATGACACATGGAACCCATTTTTAACACATTTAGACTTGAACCAAATACCTGGGGCTGAGGACACGCACATTCCCACCAACCTCTAAAATGTAACAAGCTGATTTTATTAGTAGTACTGTTGTCATCATTATTATTGGTAATTTTTTATTTATTTATTTCCCCTCCTTTTCCCTTTCTTGCATTTCATACCCACACTTCACACACTGCAACCTTGTTAAACACTCCATATCCTTTTGTAATGTCATGTAACTGTTGTCTTGTCTCCCATGTTCGGTACCGTTTTGTTAATAAAATACCTTTTCTAGCACATGTGATATCCACCCTACAGATATGTTGTGTTGGTTCAATTTGCCTGGATGCCAAAATATCAGCCACTGAAATATCTGCCTTTGCCAAAATACAGAGGAGGTGAAAGGAGCTCACTGAAATAAAAAAAAAACAAAACAACATAATCTAGAAAGCATGCTGTCAACTTTATCCATAGAGACGTTGTAATCAATGGAAATAGGTCTAATGTTGTTCACAAAAAGGTGTTTACATTATTTATTATTGCAGGGAAATTGTTTCTAGAAAGCAAAGTTCCTGCAGAATGTTTCACAGACACCAAAACTAAGAATGGGGGTAAGGGAGAAGGTGCTGCATAACTTTTAATAATTTGGGTGAACTGACCCTTTAAAGAAAAAAGCAATAATAAACACAGTGCATTCCTTTTTTTTCCTACCACCGACTTAGGTGTTTCACCCATGAATTTAAACTAATGTTGGCTTATTTAACTTTATAAAGTCATGCAGGCAGAAATCTTAGTTGTATGTCCACAGTGTGCCCAAATCCACACTTTTATTTTAGCGTTAATCCCTTTTACATACTGTATATTTATATGCCTCAGCATTAAAGCGTGTCTCATCTGATCCCCTCTTAATGTGACAACTGTTATGAAGTGCAGAAAGATGTGAAATATTCCCTCAGATTATATATATATATATATATAAAATCAGCATTTTACTTGCTTCCTCTCTCAGAGACCCATATCTCAACTTCAATAAAGTAGCGGGCTCCTAATGCAGGTATCGGGTGAAAACAAGATTCAGATTTACATAATCAGTGTCACTATACATTTGGGTGGTAGCTGGAGTGTGGCAAGATGACACAGCTCGG